TTCTCTACAGGATCTCCAAGTGAAAATAAAATTTGTAGGTTTGGTGTGAGTAACTGGTTTGGATTTTTCAAGTTTTGTTTTGTTTCAGTTTTGGACTTTGATTCCTAGTAAATTTTTGTCTTTTTATGTCGTAGTTTTAGTTTGATTTGCATCCATTTCTTAAAATTTTGTCTTCGGAGAAATCTTGTTTTTTACTGGATTTAGTTCGGAGAATTTTAACTATTTATGCCGGTTTTATATCGATCCACGGTTATAAATTTTTAATGTAAAACTCAGACGGAAAATAAAAAAATCATTCCTCAAATTTGGTGTATTTGATTTCGACGTTAATGTTTTATGTTCAAAATTATTCAATTTCTGGATTTCCATCCAATAATGGGCTTATTCAAAATTAAGGTGAGCTTTATTTTATCGAGTTTGAGCTTTCCACTTGGTTCTTAAAATGCTCTTCTTATTTTTAATTGTTCTTGAGTATTTGCACCCAATGACAATACTGTTGAGCATAATTAGGAGAATGACAAGAACAGTTTCGTTGTCACTAGGAAGAGAATATTTTGCCCTTGTTTGTGCCACTACTACCCTCACGCGCAACCCTCCTTCTCTCTCCTCTCCTGACAAACGCATTAAACCATGATTCACCAAATGCTTTTTTGTGTGAATGGAAATAACATTTTAATTTCTTTTCATTAAATGGCCTTTCTTGCTTTATCTCGCCCAAATCAATAGAGAATTCAAGAATCTTTTTTTTTGCACATCTAAATCTTCAGTCTTCTCTTTATACCATCATATCTCTTTCCCCATTCGTTCTATCTCTGTTTTTTTACCACAGATCCTTTCTATATTTTTGTTTTCCATCAATTTTGTGGTACAAGATCTTGTAATTTTTTACTTTCTTCTTGTTGTTGCTTTAAAATCAACTCTCAATACACAAAACTTTGTTATTTGTCGATTCATATCATTATGATTGTTGTTCCCTTATTCTGCAGTTACAAAAGTGTCATACATGTTTCCCTTTGTGTATCGATTTTTTTTTGCCCACCTAAGTTTCAATTTTGGCGTGCTTGGTAAGGATTTTTGGTTCATTCTTTAGGTTATTGCAGATCTAAATTTATCTTTACTGCGTTATACTAAAAAAATGGGTGCTACGTATTGTTTGTGCAAAATTTAACCGGATCGAATAGAAAACAGTACTACGGAATGACGGAAAGTCGTTAGCTTTATTGATCAATGAGTTTCGATAAGAATTACAAAGAATCAATAAAGAAATCGCAAGGTGATGATCGTGTCGATCGTTCGTCACTCGTCATTCTTGTCGCTCGTCGTTGAGAGGCGGCAAGAGTTTAGTATTCTAGGGTTTTTGTGTGTGCTTGTGATACCCTCGTCCTTGCATCAGGACTCTGTATATATAGGTTTTGTGAACCCTAGTCCTTGTTGGACTGGACATGTCTCTAGTCGGTCCATCCTAATTGTTTTAGGAGTAGCACGCTATGTCGGTCGATCCTTAGTCATATTTTCATTAGAAATATGTTAAGTCGGTGGTTTTGCTAAACCATTGGTTATTAATAAATTGGTGTTGAAGTCGTCGGTCGGTGGTTAACCCACAAACCGGACGTCGTTGGTGGTTAAGACTGTTTGTCAGTGGTCATTAGTTATATCGAATGCCATGGTCAGTGCCATGACTTGCGACTCCATGTTCATTGTCAAAGACTACTAAAAGCTCCATGAAGCGAATAAATAATAGCGACTGACTGAGCATGTCTCGAATCTGCATAACTTATGCCTTATGAACCACGTTCCGGTAGTGACTAACTAGTGAATTTATTTACACCCAACAACTTGCCCCCTACTCTTCAATTTCTAAATTAGAATTTGGGAAGTAATTTATGCTTGTAGTCGTCGGTCGATGTTGAATAACGTCGTTGAAAATCATAACGTTGTAAGACTCTAACACAGTTTACATAACACAGTTTGTGTATAAAACACATGTGCACAGACCAAGACATAGACAATTACCTCACTAGTCGATAATACACGTGATGTTGCTTCCTCCTTTTTTTTTTCTATTGCTTTTATCACTTTTTTTTTAAAGCCTTGTTTGAGTGACCACATGATGTTATTGCACACACATGACGTTCCTCTCTCCTCCTTATGTTTTTGCTTCTTCTCAATTCACCTCGTGGGACCACAGAGAGCAGAGACATAACCTGTCTCTCCCTTTTCTTTAAATATTTTATTGGTAAGAGCCAAGAAAGAGTAAAATGAAGATGTAGCAAGGACTAGGACTAACATGACATGTGTCCCTCCTCACAAGCAGTCTCTCTACGTGCATCGTGTCCTCCTTCTTTTGAATTATTGAGACTATTTAGCAAAGGCAAACATTGCTACCTTCTCTCTTGCATTTGATGTCTCTGCACCTTTTCATTTTTGTTGAAGTTGGAGTGAAGCCCATGAAGCAAGTTTTTTTTGTTTGGACAGAAAACACTTCATGTCGCTGCACATTTTTTGTGACCATGCGAGACCGGAGAGAAGATAAAAGAGCAATAACATTGTGTCCTTGATTCTATTTTTCTGCATGTTTCATTCCTGTTCACGTGTAACCAAAGGAAATACATTGTTGATGATCAAAATTATGACGTCGTCACATGTACCTCGTGCATCTTGTTGGAGAGACAAAACGTGTCATTTTTTTTTGCACTCGTCAATCGCTAATCTATGACGTCGTTTTCATACAATAATCTCGTTTGATTTTTGTTTATGACGCTACTTGAATGTCACGATCTCATCGCTTCATATTTGTAGTAGCCATTTTAGTTAGTGACCGTGACCACAAGCTTCTTAAGGTCGTGCCTCTTGATTTTTCTAGTAGTGATCGTCATCACAATCTTTTTGAGATCGATCATGTTGATTCGTTTAGATGGGACAGTCGTCGCGATTAGATGACACAATCACGTAGTCTCTAATTTTCATGTGTTTGAGGGTCATGCCTTTAATTTCTATTTGAAGCGACCATCATCACTTTTTGTTCTTTAATGACTATAGTCATAACGTTGCCATCGATATTCACATGAGATCATTACCCCCGATTACTAACATTATCGTGAATGTCTTTTTCTTTGTTACGCTCTATCGTACGTGCACTACATATTTGGTATGTAACCGTTGCTTGTGCGTTATGGAACGTATGTCGTCATTAGCTTGTCGTGCATTTTTATGTATGGGATTATATCCTAAGTTTGCAGTTGCCTATTAATCTTGTTTTCAAGATTTCATTTGCAGTGGTTATTTCGCTTT